AAGGGAACTTCTTTGACTTAAGTGATGTGGAAATAAAGACAAATTCTTCTCCAATATAAAAAATTATGTTCATCTTTGGGATGAGCATAAGACCTGACAGGGCTCCTCAATGGAAAAGACTCAAGATCCTTCTTTAGGCTAAAGCCATGGCCACTAGAGATGCAACTGTTGAAACGGCAACTTCATAACCAATTACACTATAGATTTTGAGACTCTTTCAGAAGGGCATCTGGTTCCTTTTTTCATGGTTTTTTCCAACCATGAAAAAAATTTTAAAAAAAATAGGAAGGTGAGAGAGTAAATTTCTACAATTTGCAAACAGAACAATGTCCTTCATGCAGATGCTCAAAAGTACCTGAACTCAACCCTGATGAAGTTATCTAGCAGTTCTCAGAGAGCTTTGAGGAAAAACTAAGTGAACTGATGCCACTCGCTGTTAGCAGAATCTGCAGGTTTGGGCAGCATGAGCCTTAATCTACAAATTAATTTCTAGTCTTGGTATTTCAGCTTCCAAGCAGCACATTCTAACAAACCTGGTGAAAAACACACCTATATTATCATACAAATCCACCCCCCATGTCCTACTTTCAGACACTGTAGTATGTAAGCGCCCTTTGTATATCTTGAGACATCACAACAAGGTAAGGAGAGCAGGATACCATCTGCAGGCACCAAGAAACCAAATTGTCCTTAACTACTGAGTAGTAATGCAGTTTGTTCTTTTATCCTTCCTGGTCATTAAGTTCCATGCTAAATGCTTAGAAAAAAGGTCTACATTTCCTTTGCTAGCACTGAAATCTTTATTTCCTACTTCAAAAATGCAAATTTTTAACTAATTCAGGGAACTGATGGGCAGGATTGTCTGGGAGCAAGTCTAAGGTAAAAAGGAGTCTTTAGAGCTGGTTGTACTTTAAGGAGGCCGTATTTAGGGCACAGGAGCAAGTTATCCCAATGCAAAATAATGAAAAGTGCAACAGGAGACCAACCTAGTGAGACAGCAATCTTTGCAATGAGTTGAAACAAAAGAGAATCCTCCAAAAAGTATAAGCTTGGTCACATTATAAAGAAAAGTATAACAGTATAGAGGGGACATGGGGGGGGGGGAGGAGAAGAGAAGTGAAAGCATCAGGAAGGCTAAGGCATGACTCGAGATGCAACTGGCAAGGGACGTAAAAGACAATAAAAAGGGATTCTACAAGTACATCAGAAGTAAGAGGTCCCTAACAGAATGCAGACGGCAATCTAGTTATAGGTGATGAAGAGAAGGTTTAAATATTTCATGCCTTTTTTTACTGAGATCTTCATGAATCAAATCAGCTACCAGATGACGAGCACAGTTGGCTGATGGGACTGAGTGCAATCTTAGCAAATGTGTGGATGAATTCAAGTTGGGTAGAATCAAAGACACTAGAGTGAAGGCCCCAGATGCAGCATGACCTAGATAAAATGGTAAAACGGTCCAAAACAAAATCAGGTGAAATTCAACAAAGAAAATAACGAAGTCTTTAAGATGCAATAACAGCATGCACAAATACAGACTGCGGAAAGACTGGCCAGACCACAGTACTGCAGAAAAAGACCTGAGGGTTGTAATTGATCACAAACTGAAGCTGTAGATTCTCCAACCCTGGAAATTTAAGAGCCAGTAAGACACACACTTGGCTGGGATGGTTTAGTCAGGAATGATCCCAACTTGTGCAGGGGTCTGGACTATATGACTCTATGAAGTTCCTTCCAGACCTACTTTCCTATCATCCTGATTTATCTAAGCATAAGTACTGATGCCTGAATCAGTCTGCTTAAAATTTTCTGCCTTGTATAGTGCTGAAAATACTGAAATTGTGTCTCTCCAGAGCAACAAATCTTGCTGGATAGGAGTGATGCATCACTGGAGTCCTGCTGCAATCTTCAATAATCATGCAATTTATAGGTATTCAAGTGAAGTGACACTCCTACTACAATATGAAAGACTGATGTATAGCTGGATTCGAGTTAAGGCCATTAAAATAACCCATAAGCTTCCCTTTGTGCTCTTTAACAAAGGAGACTTTAATTTTTTTGACCTAGAGAAAGGACTGATAAACTCATGTCAACACAAATTAGCAAAGAACATTGCACTGAAATTTAGTATTCATAAAACCAAAAACCACACTCATTCTTGATGTCTTCTGGAAAAAGGACTAGATGTTATATGGATCTGTTAAAAGGAGAACCAACAAATTAACAAGGCAAACGCTGTATTTAGGATAATGATATGCCACTAGCATGCTCAAAATATTACATGTGCTTCAACACAGCACACTGTGCAATAATACAGCAGCAGTATCCATAGTCTCTGTTGATGTGAAAACTAAGATTAGATAAAAGGTGGACAGAATTGTGTTGGTCTGCTTTTGGGGGTCAAAAATCCCAAGAAGGCACTACCTACAGGTGGAAGACGTCCATCTGATGTAGAAAAATTATTCACTGGATGACAGATCATACAGAAGTCTGGGACAGGCTAACATCTAGTCTTTACTTTTCTTTTAACAAATACCTAGAACAGTCATGCTGGAAATGCTAGAAGTATTCATCCAAAACTAAGGAGCTTTGGATTATTTCCAAATAGTCAGATGTAGTGACTGATTGGGTGGGAACCACTGATTTTATTAAATGGGCAGAAAAGTGAAATAATCTCTAAGAAACAGCCACTATAAAGCCAACTGTGAGAAACATGCCTGACTAAATAGATTTACACCCAACTGGGGATGTCTAGTCCTGCCAACTTTTTACCTATTCAGAAAAATTAGTCATGAGCCGGTACCCATGCTGACTTGACGAAAAATATAGTTATAAAGCCTGAAGGTAGAAACATTAGTTTTGTTAGTGCTGGCAAGAGCACAACCATACATCAACTGATGCAGGTTTCTCCCTATTTTAAAGAGTCAACACACAGCCAAAAAGTAGTCAACTTATATTGCTCTGTTAAAAGCTCTCTGTTCTGCTGCCCAATAAAGACACTTGTACTAAATGAGCTACGGAAAAAAGCATTTGCTTCCCAGGCTCCAAACTGAATAATCTCCAAAAATGGAGTAAAATAAAAGAGATATACATTAATATCAGACAAAGAACATTTGGCTTGTGCCTTTTACAGATAAATTCAAAGGGTGTCTTAGGCTATGAACAGATGTTCCGTTTCTACCAAGAGAAGCACTGCTCTCCCAGTAGAAAACAAAAAGCATGCAGACATTTAAGCTTTTTCTCCTGGAGCAAACAAACATGGCCACTCAGAGAAAAATAACCCAGGAATAACCTAGTTAAATCATTCCTAGAAGAGTTTCTCCTGGGAAACTGAATGTCTGCACACTTTTCCTCCACTTAACTCCTCCACCAGGAAAAGTGGAGCCAGGGGAAAGGTTCCCATGCCTTCTTAAGACTGGGGTTAGTGGTTTAAAGAAGGCATAGGGGGCAAGTACTCCTGAGTGTCCCAGTGACAGGGGTGAGGAAGCAGCCACTGCCTCCTTCTCACACCTGAGTTCCTGGTTTGAGCAGCATGCAGGGGTTGTGTACCATACTACTTCCTCTGCCTACAGCTTGCCCATGGGCCCCACTGGAGCTGCTCTTGGGCCACAGGGCTAGAAGAATGTCTGTACATGCCAGCTCCCAGGCTATTTCTCACCTGGAAGAAATTTCTTCCAGTAGAAATGAACAATCGTATGCAACCTTCATCTATGACGTTAAAACAGCTGTGGCCATTCTGAAGCGTGCCAGACTAAAGCTGGAATTATCACTTGAAAAATTACAAATGCAGTCTTGCCCAGTTTTCAAAAACAAACACGCTACTTTGAAAACAGGTTGTCTTTACTGACAAATCCACCAAACCTGTTCACAAGTTTTACTTTCATGGAACAAACATTCAAGATAACTCACAGTAGAAAAGGCTTTTTCTCCCAAATGGCCATGGTCAAACTACCTTATTTTATTGCATACAAAATGCACCCAAATAAAATAGATATAATGTTTTGGAACGCAGAATGTAGAGAAAAGATTTTTTCAGTCATGGCTGACTGTTCTCAGGAGGATTTTCTGTCACAGAGTGCCCCGGAAGTGTGGCAGCAAGAAGTTCCTGGTGCCAGGTGCCTCACCCAGACTATCTCCTGGGATGTTACACTTCCTAGACACTCTGGACACTGACAGATATGAAAAACAAAATAAAAAAGCCTGGCATCACCATAAGAGGAAGCACGTTAATTCAACCTGGCTTCACAGCATCTATGTAGATCAGGCATTTCAGCAGGGCTTTTTGGCACCTTTAGCTAAAGCTGATTCAATTAGCTATTACACAGAAGTGCCAAAAATCCCTGCTGAAGTGCTCACTCCATATAGACGTTAGGCGAGCTGGGTTAAACTAATGCAACGCCTCTTCTAGGCATGCCCTGCGCTTGGTGTGGGGGAGCACCAAGCTTAAAATAAAATGCTATTTTGGGGTTTGTTTTTTCAACATCTGTAAGCAGCCTCAATGTTTCCAGACTCACTCTGTCACACAAGATTAGGCCCCAGACTCTTACAAGGACAGTAGCAACTGTTAGTTCTTTACTGTAAACAGTTCTTTATATAAAAAGTTACTGTAAATAAAGTGTTGTTTCCATATCACAAGCCTCACTGAGACACTACAAGCAACTCATTTGCTGCTTCAGGCACAATCAATGACACTCAGCCAATAGCTATGGTTGTGAGAGGGCTAACACAGGACTCATCTTGCCAGCTGCATGGCGTGCACAGCATCTCCAAGTTTTTTCTTTGCTGGAAAAGCAGCACAGTCCCTGGTTTAAACAAGCACCCCAGTTTTGGGGAAGAGGTATGGGATATATTCAAGAAAATATTGTATGTTATGTCGAACTCTGGCAAAATGTTTGAAAAGCTACAACTGAATGACTATCCAAAAATCAATGCATATAACATTACCAATACAGGGTAGGGGTACAGAAATGCAAAACTCATGGTACAGGTGGGAAACTAACCTTGCACAGGTGTCACTACTGTCCCTTTGAAGTGTGGATTTATATGTATATTCTTCGGCTGCTGGGGCGTCACTGGAGGTGGAGTCATCATTATTCTAGGTGTTTCCATTTGTGGGGGCATATGCATCCCTGGAGGTGGAGGAGAATGATGTTGATGCTGTATAGGAAGCAGAGACTGTAGCTGTTGCTGCTGTTGTTGCTGGAACAGACTTCTAATAGGCTGCTGATGAGGAGGAATTAACCTCTGTGAATGAGTCTAAGAAAAAACATACAAGACCATAATTAATGGGACTTAAAATTCAAGTATAGTATGTAAAACATCAATACAAAAAAGTGCATACAAAACATATAGCTAGGCCAGGGGTGGGCAAAATACAGCCTGCGGGCTGGATCAGGACTGCCAGGCCATTCTATCCAGCCCGCAGGGCCCCTAAAATATTTAGAAAATTAATATTTATCTGCCCCTGGCTCCTGTCAAAGATGATAGGAGCCAGGGGCAATAGAACCCAGGGGAAGCCACAGCAGGCTCCTGCAAGAGCAGGGCCCACCAGGCCCTGTCCCCCCCTCAACCGGAAGCCCCTGCCTAGCAGGCGCTTCTGGCTTGGGACAGTGGGGCTGTTTGTGGCAGCACTGGCGTGGGAAATTTAGGTAAGAAGCGCGTGTGGCAGGGGAGGACTGCAGGGACTGCCCCAGTCTTCAAGGCCCAGCTGACTCCTGCTGAGCCCCACTGTCCGGCCATGCAGCCATGTGGTACAGAGTGGCCAGCGGGTGGGGGGAGTGGAAGCGAGTGGCATGCAGAAGCGCGGGGCCTGTGGTGGTGCCACAGGGCCAACGCCAGTGGCGCCCAAAGCAGGGCAGTAGGAGAGTGGGGCACAGGCTGGCAGGGTTCTCTGAAGCTGGGCTGGACTGCGCCAGCAGGGAGATGGGGGACCTGACCCGGCTCCAGAGAGCCCCTGCTGGCCAGGACCCCACATTCCTGCTGCCCTGCTTTGGGCCCTGCCAGCACTGGCCCCGGGACACTGGCACAGGCCCCACATGCCTGCTCACTCTGTGCCCCAGCCTGGCAGTATAGATGGGGAAGGGTGCACAGCCCTGACCCTGCACTCCCAGCACTGCCCATCTGGACTGAGCAGTGGCAGTGGGGATGGTGGCTCAGTTGGGGGGGGAACCCCCAAAAAACAAACAAAAACAAACAAAAAACAGTCCTCTCCCCCCCACTCCAATGGTTGGCACTTCCTGCTGCAGCCGCTTGCAGCCCGCATGGGCTGTCCTGCCTCTCGGCTGCTTCACTGCCATTTCTGTGCTGCCCAGCATGGCAGCAGTGGCCATCTGGAGAAGCCACAAGGCAGCAGAGATGCAGTGGTGAAGCAGCCACAGCCTAACATGGTGCAAGCTCCAGGCAGGCAGCTGCAGCAAACAGTGCCCAGCGGCAGCGAATTGAGGGGCTGCTTTCCTCTGTGCTGAGCAGCAGTTTGTGCTCAGCTGCGGCTGCTGCTCAGCCCTGACAGGTGAGCCCGGAGCTGGCGCAGAGCCCAGGGTAGCAGTGGCAGCGGGGAACAAACTGGTGCTCAGCATGGGGGAAAAGCTCCCCCTCCCCGTGGCAGGCACCCCATGCTGCAGCCACTTGGAGCCTGCATGGGGCTGCCTGTGCCTGCTCTAGTGTAACTGCTGCCTTGTGGGGTGACAGTGATGCAGCGGAGAAGCAGGACAGCCTTGCGCAGGCTGCAAGCAACTGCACCTAGATGTGCTGGCCATGGGGAATGGGGGGAACAACGATGACAACTAAAAATTAGTATGTAATTTTTTTCCCCAGAGTTTAGGGGCAGGGCTTCCAGTTCCAAGATAACGACCATGTGGCCCTCGACAGCTTGCCAAAACACAGTAAATGGCCCTCCACCCAAAAATAAAATCGCCCACCCCTCACCTAGGCACACAGGAAACCAGATGATGGGAAATGGTGAGACTGTATCCTTACCATGTGTGGACACAGCCAAGCTGATTAGAAATGTGATGATGCTCCTGTCATCTCACACAAGAACAGAGATGCTCACAATAGTAATATTTATTTAAAATCAAAATAAATTGAGAAATACAGCAACACAAGTTGGTTAAAAAAAGCATGCAAATGATTTCTTCTTCCTCCTCCTATTCTGTTCTACAAAAATAGAAGTCTGGTTTTCTACCCACTGAATATTCCATTCACCTGTCAGTAATTCAAATTTCATCACTCATCAGCCAAAAAGATTTTAGGGTTACAGATGGCAGATCATGAAGAACAACAAAAATAAATCTTTATATTTCTTGATCACTGGCACTATTCTTGGATAAGACAAAGCTTAAATTTGACTATTAAGACAAATTAAGGTTTAATAGTTTGTCATCCCTATTGTTCCGACAGTGCTTCTCTTGTAGTTGCAGTTACAGAACTTAACTCACCCGCAATCCAAGGACTATTACCCAAAACTGCTAGAGCAGAAAGCTGCTGCAACTACATTTCTGATGTGTGCATATTCTCATTTACGTATTTATGTGCCTCCTGTCAGAACATGCCATGTTAGAAATAAGAATATTCCACTATGTTTTTAATGCAACCTCATTTTTTTAATTGAACATTTCGAAAGACAGGAAAACTCCACAGAATTATATTTAAGTAGCAACCAGTAATACAGAACTGAATAGGGTCTCAAACATCTAGAAAAAACACTTTATCTGTTTATACTGAAGAATAGTAATAACGAGTGAAGTAGCTGCATTATCTCCTGCGTACCTGAAAATTTGCAGAGTTTGTAATATCAGGTTTCTGTAACTATGAAGCAGAAACAAGGTCCCTCATATTTCCACGATTACTCCGTGGTAAGGATCCTTTTACTATAAGCTCCTTTAGGACAGCAGCAGACACCACTTCACATTTTAAAAAAAATCTCTGTAAACTATTATGAAAAAGATCATTTCTGAAAACTAGAATCAATTTTTGAAAAAAGAACTGTACAATGATTCACAGGTTAGAATAATGGTTTTTTATCCCCCATAAATGATTTCTTGAAGCATATTCAAATAGGAAATACTATGCATTAAAAGGTACCGTTGTTGATGGCTGCGTTGGCAGCAGTGCAGGCCTGTGATCCTTCATTCTTCCCCTTTCATTGTTGTCTCTTCTTTGTTCTCCCATTCCATGACACATTACTGAACCTCCTCTCCTCCCTCCTCTCCTTGAGCCGTACCGTCCTTGTTTAAACTGCCTTTCCCTTTCTTCAAATTCAAGTAATGCTGCTTTGGCTTCTGCAGAAAGTTCTGTTACATGAGAAAAATGTACATTTAGATACATGTTGAAAAGACATAGAAAAGATTAGGGAAGACACCACTAGGAGTAGAGAAAACTGTCACAAGAAAACGTACATGCTCTTTGATCTCCTTCAGGTGGCATGTTAACATTTCATTAAAAGAACATCATTTTTTTCTTGGCATATTTGTTTCCTTTTGCAAAGATAAATAGTGTCAGTGAATGAAATTAAAACATGAAAGAAAATATTACTTTACTACTAAAGTTTGCCTTGTTATACAAGTTGTTTACATGATGTAACCAAAGCTAGACTGCCAGCACTGGAAACTGTACACGGCACAAAGGAAGCACCTGCAAACATTACAGGTTACATTGCACTTTCCATCATAACTTAGGCTTGTGTTCGACTTTCTGCTCTCAGGGTCTGTCCTTTACCAAAGACATCCTCTGAATGTTTAAACGAATTCAGTTTATCCCATTTTTCAAGCAGCAGGAAGAACCATGCAACATCATATATACATGGTTACATTCTCCACTAAACAACACATAAAAGGCATTACAGATCTGGGATTCACCTATAGTTGAGAAGCAACAATACAGTTGCCCCTGCATTTACATGACTAAATGTGGTAGACAGTAATCAACCAGAACCATATAACCTAGTTAAAGCCCAGGACAACACCCAAAACCAAGTCAAGGAGCAACCACTGTATAACTGAGTCAGGAGATCAAATTACAGATGCACAGATGCTTCTAATAATGAAGTCTGTGCTCCATTTCAAGGACGTGAAGTGAGTTTTGTAAGCAGCATTTTCTGGTCTATTAGCACATTTTAATGGGGTACACATTTTCTGACACATTCAAGAAACCCAATACAATTATTACTACATATGCACAAAATTTCACTTTGTTGCTCTGGAAAACTACCTTAACGTCTCTTTACCAAGTCAGTTACTTTAACAAAGCTAATGTTGACATTTTTGCCCAGGTATTTTTTGTATGCTGAAAAGTATGTGTGTACTTACAGTTCATACACAAGTGCACTTTCACACACGGCAATAGCCTGAGAATTCTACTTCTGAATTAAAAGAAATAACCAATTCTTAATGCCAGACTTTAAATAGGACAGTCTTGAGTTAATGACATTACCTATGGACAAACATAACTGCTTTAAAAAGGGGATGAGGAGCTGCCACTAGGATGCATCAGCACAACCTAACAGTTATCTCCATGTGTACCTGTCGTGATACAACTGTAGCAAAACATCACTGCAACTTGAGCATGTTTCATACAAGGTTAAAAAGTTGCATTGATTTAACTGACTTGTAGTAGCCACATTCCTGGAAAGTTACTAGAATATCTAGCTACAAAACTGGCAGGAGATGTAAAGCTACTTAAATCACTGTTTGTTTAAACAAACTTAGGAATAATATCAATTAAGCCCTGAAGTCCACAACTGATTGAGGTGCAATATGTGGGAAGTTGTGCCTGTAGCTGTTTCTACGATGCTGGATACAATTCCACGTCTGAATTGCAAAGGTTGCATTTTTTGCAAGAAAAAAGAACAAGTGGCTTAACTATTGAGTGTTGAAGCCTGTACAAAATTCAGACCATTTTTTCTGAAAGGCAGAATATTTAGAACTTGTTGAGCACTGTAGAATACAGTAAAAACTGCAGAAACCCTGAAATTTCAAGATGCATTTCATAGTTTGTACGGTCGGAAGGGACATGAGCAGATCATCAAGTCCGACCCCCTGCCATAGCAGGAAAGTACCGGGGTCAAATGACCCCAACAAGATGATTATCAAGCCTTGTCTTAAAGACCCCCAGGGTAGAAGCCAGCACCACTTGCTTGGAAGTTGGTTCCAGATCTTAGCCACCCTGACAGTTTCATAGTTTCTAGGGTCAGAAGGGACCCGAGTAGATCATCTAGTCTGACCCCCTGCTATAGCAGGAAAGATTACTGGGGTCAAATGACCCCAGCAAGGTGTTCATCTAACCTCCTCTTAAAGACCCCCAGGGTAGGGGCCAGCACCACTTCTCTTGGAAGTTGGTTCCAGATCCTAGCTGCCCTGACCGTGAAGTAGCGCCTCCTGATATCTAGCCTAAAATCTACCCTCTGCCAGCTTGTGACCGTTATTCCTGGTCACCCCTGGCAGTGCTTGGGGGAACAGGGACTTCCCCAGTGCCTGCTGATCCCCCCTGACTAGTTTGTAACAGGCCACTAGATCCCCCCTCAGCCTTCTCTTCTGGAAGCTGAACAGGTTCAGGTCCCATAGCCTCTCCTCATAGGGCCTGCCCTGCTGCCCCCTGATCACACGAGTGGCCCTCCTCTGGACCCTCTCCATGTTGTCCACATCCCTCTTGAAGTGCGGTGCCCAGAACTGGACCCAATATTACAGCTGCAGCCTGACCAGTGCCACAGAGGGGGAGGATCACTTCCTCGGACCTGCTCGAGATGCATCTGTGGATGCATGACAAGGTACAGTTGGCCTTCCTGACTGCATCCCCACACTGCTGGCCCATGTTCATCTTGGGGTCAATGACAACTCCAAGATCCTTTTCCGCCTCTGTACTAACAAGAAGGGAGTTCCCCAACCTGTAGGTATGGTGCTGGTTCTTCCTCCCCAGGTGCATCACCTTGCACTTGTCTGTGTTGAATGCCATCCTATTCTCATCCGCCCACCCCTGTAACCTGTCTAGGTCCAATTGGAGCCTATTCCTCCCTTCTAGCATGCCCACATCCCCCACATCTTAGTGTCGTCAGCAAATTTGAACAGGGTGCTTTTTACCCCCTCGTCCAAGTCACTGATGATGTCGAACAGTGCGGACCCAAAGACCAAGCCCTGCGGAACCCCACTGCCCACATCCCTCCAGGTCGAAAATGACCCGTCCATCACCACTCTCTGGGTGCGGCCCTCCAGCCAGTTAGTGACCCATTCAGCTGTGTAGGTGTCGACACCACAGTCCCCCAGTTTTTGATTGGCAATGGGGTGAGAGACAAATGTCGAAGGCGTTCCTAAAGTCCAGAAAGACTACGTCCACTGCTACCCCTGCATCTAAGGATTTGGTTATCACACTCATACACTGCTTTTTTGCCTGTTGCTAAAAAGAAGAAAGGATATTTTCCTCTCTGCGTTTTTCTCCAAAGTAACTGGAGACACTAGATGTTGTGCTATTTCCTTCCCACAAGCATCATAAGACTTTGCCTTATTTGGCAGAGGCAAGAGTGTTCTCCGACTTCTTTCCCTTCCACCATACCCAAGGGAGCTTAGCTTGCTACTAGATTAGGAAGTGGGAAATCTTAGCCGAGGGCTGTCCAACTAGCAGCCCACAAGCTGCAGGCCACCCACTATGGTTAAAGGCCTACAAGGCTTGTCAGTGAGCTCCCCAGAA